ATGAGGGTGAGTAATTAATGACAGAATTTTAATTTTTTGGGTGAATTATCCCTTTAAAGGGTTAATTCACCCAAAAATGAAAATTAGCCCATAAATTACTCACCCTCAAGTCATCCTAGGTGTATATGACTTTCTTCTTTCAGACGAATCCAGTCGGAGTTACATTAAAAATTGTCTTTGATCTTTCAAGCTGTTTAATGCCACTCAGCGGGTGTTGCATGCATCAGTCCAAAAGAAGTTAAATAAAAAGCGCCCATCCATAAAAAAAAGTGTCTCACACGGCTCCGGGGGGTGAACAAAGGCCTCCTGTAGCGAATCTATGCGTTTTTGTAAGAAAAATAACCATATTCAAAAAGTAATAATGACTTTAATCTAGCTTGTGCTCACTGTTGTACACTGGAAGCAGTTCCGGGCGGATGACGTATGAGGTCGGCTTGAGGTATGAGCAGCAAAATCCTTTTTTTTTTTCAGTGTTATCTTACTGGTAGACCACCATGGACCAGCAACCATATTCCAAAAACCAGCTTAACCTGTTATTTTCCCCCAGAAGGGATCTGCTCACACTAAATATTATGCCTGGATTGCAAACAGTGTTTGAATAAACTCTTTCATGTAATTTAATGAAGGTGTAACATGAGACTTTGCATTTTTAATAAGAAGCGCTACCTAAATTCGGCCTCAAGTGCTTTATACCACATCATATAAAATTTAATCATTCCTCCCCTGCTCTGCCAAAAATGAACAATACACTTCAAACATGATGTTTGACAACACAACAGAATTCCGATGGGATGCCCAAAGCAGTTAGCAGAGCTCCAGCATGTATCACATGATATCAGAGGGGGAGGTGAGAGAAGGAGATCTCTGCCTCTTTCTGAAGATCTCTGCTGTTCCATCCATGTACTCAAAATCACAAGATCCAAGAGAAAAGTCTTCAAAGTGAAGTGTGAGAAAGAGATATGTTGAGGTTTTACTAGTCTTGCATAGATTTTGGAAAGTTCTTGCCATTTTTGTGTGCAATATGCCTCAGATGGTCTATGGGGGTCCCGTCTAAACCTCAAATTAGGGTTTTACTGACTAGGATCAGTCATGTAATGCTACTCAGCATGGTCCTCAAAGGGCTGGTGTTTAAGAGCTGATCAGAGGTCAGATAGTAAGCCGGACACTAACCTGCAGCCATCTGCATGTATCCTGCCAATGTGCAGATCCTCCTCTCCCAGGCTCCACCGGGCAGGAAGATGGTGATGATGGCCAGCAGGGAGCTGACTGCCACAACACAACAGAATTCCGATGGGATGCCCAAAGCAGTTAGCAGAGCTCCAGCATGTATCACATGATATCAGAGGGGGAGGTGAGAGAAGGAGATCTCTGCCTCTTTCTGAAGATCTCTGCTGTTCCATCCATGTACTCAAAATCACAAGATCCAAGAGAAAAGTCTTCAAAGTGAAGTGTGAGAAAGAGATATGTTGAGGTTTTACTAGTCTTGCATAGATTTTGGAAAGTTCTTGCCATTTTTGTGTGCAATATGCCTCAGATGGTCTATGGGGGTCCCGTCTAAACCTCAAATTAGGGTTTTACTGACTAGGATCAGTCATGTAATGCTACTCAGCATGGTCCTCAAAGGGCTGGTGTTTAAGAGCTGATCAGAGGTCAGATAGTAAGCCGGACACTAACCTGCAGCCATCTGCATGTATCCTGCCAATGTGCAGATCCTCCTCTCACAGGCTCCACTGGGCAGGAAGATGGTGATGATGGCCAGCAGGGAGCTGACTGCCAGCAGAGCACATCCACCTGAACACAGCACCGCACTCGTCTGCAACACACACAACACACAACACTTACAGATACTGCTGCTCTTATAAGAGTTCAAACTCTTTCTGGGGCTTGATTGAGTTTTACCACTCAAGCAATCCAAATTTAATTCTGTTCTCATAAAATGAGTGAATCTAGCCACAACTGGATTTAATAGGTCAAGGTAAAACCACAGATTTTAAATCAAAACTGCTCTAAACACTGAACAAAAACATCACATGGCTAACCACGTAAAGCCTTACATAATATAATTATTATAATATAATATAGTATAATATGATATAATATAATATAATATAACTTATTGTACTATGGTACTATTAGGCTGTTATTTATGGTACTATTAGGATGTTATAGTAATTTAACAGTCACAACAAAATACATTTCTCATTGCATTAACAATCTTTAAAGCATTCCTATTGATTTTTTTTCTTCTTAAAGGGCTCTTCATTTTCATTTGGGGTAGTCTAAACAAACACTGAAAGCAAGTTATCAAAAAATATAAAAGTATGCATCTACATTAAATGTAGAATATATTAATACATAAATTACATAATTGTGGATAATATAAATAAATGGTACAAAGAACACTGTTATAGTGAAAATCAATGAGGGTTTATATAATTTTAATAATAATAGAGCTGACTGCAAATAAATAAATAAATACATACAATAAAAAATAAAATAAAATAAAATACAAAAAAATATATACTAGGTAAATGTATATATTTGTATATGTATAGTAATTTTTTGTAACACTTTATTCTTTTAAGGACCAATTCTCACTATTTACTAGCATGCATATTACTAGCACACTAGCTGTTTATTAGTACTTATAAAGCACATATTAATGTCTTATTCTGCATGACCATATTTAAGATACTTGAATCCCCATACCTAAACTTAACAACTACCTTACTAACTAAGCAGCTAATTAGGAGTTTGAGGCAAAAGTTGTAGTTAATAGTGAGAATTGGACCTTAAAATAAAGTGTGACCAAATTTTTAGTAAATGTTGACCGTCTCTGCTATTCATCCACTTTCAAAAAAAGCAGCTTGGCCATTCTACTTAATATCTTCTTTTGTTCACCCTACAAGAAAGAAAATCATATGGCACAAATTGAGTAAATTTGGCACAAATTGTGTGTTTGGCACAAATGAGTAAATGACGACAAAATGTAATTTTTGGATTAACTATAAACTTAACATTAAACGCCGAGCACAGAGTCACAGAAAACAGGGTAGACAGAAATATAAGGTGTGAAATCAATCAGTTTTTTCTAAGTGCTTACTCAGTGGGATCAATTTAGTGAAACAGCGTGTACTGATCCTCTAATCTACCACCTTCATCAAATCAAACGCTTCATCAGTCAAAAGGCTCACTCCAGCACTACACAACGACCACATGCCTGGTCCAAAAACAAAAATAAAGGCCATCCCATAGATATCTCTCATCTGGGCTTTTTTAAATCAGATGTTTGCAAGAGCAGGCTGCAGGTGCTGGCATGTCTTTGTTAGACTATCACACAAAACTCTAAAGAGTACCTAAACAGTTTGCGTTACAATCCCTAAACTAAAAACACGGAGGACGCATATCAGAGACAAGAGGCAACTGATCTTACTCTGATGTAATACATTTAGACCTGTGAGGCAGGACACACTGACATCAAGAATTATTGATGTGAAAAAAATTTATTGATTTGGGTAGTATCTGTAACTTAACGCTTAGATGTTGCTGTTGAACCAATCTTTTAGTTTCCCATAAGCCTAACACTTAAAAATCAAAACAATTGTCAGGACTATATTATTCCACAAAGTGTCATTATCATAACCCTAAAATCTGGCGCAAACAAACAAACAGAAAAAATAAGCTACACATAATAATAATATACATGTATGAAATGTACACTTACACAACAATTTAAATATACAAAAATATATGGATAAACATACAAAAACATGCTGTTTGTAGTACCACCCAGTGGCCATAGACATGCCACAAGACTGTAAGAATATTTAATACAAATATTTTAGTATTAATACACTTTTTATTTCAGTAGCCTATTCTAAAATGTGTTCAGATGAAGGCTTTCTGTAGAGGTGGGTCACAGGTGGCTGCTTTTCAGTGAGAAACATTCGGAGATTTCAAACTGAGGTTTTCTTTCTGACAGTTTGATCTCACTGCCTCTTCATTAGATCAGCTGGAGCTTTCAAATGCCATTTTCGCACACACAACTGCAGTATCAAACTTACTAGACCAAATCAACAACAAAGTAAACACAACATCTGTTAAAAAACTATCAGCACATCTCTTGCACAAACAATACACATACACAACAGAGTGCGGTTCTTAGAGCCATTGTCACATTAGCAGCACATATCAGAAAGGAGTCACAATAATAATAGAATTGCCAGTGACTTCATTACCTTGTCGTCCTAATGGCGAAGACATTAATGGTAAGAGCGGAACGCTAATAAAGACTGGATGGCAGATTCATAGGTGACGTCTGAAACTGCAATATAACATTTGTAGTAATTATGACTGTTTGTGCTGATGACAACATTACAACATCCTTTACAATAATGACATGTCCTAATAACGCAAAATTCTAATAACGCAGAAAACGAAGAAGTGGAACGTTGCAGACACTCGGCAGAAATATATTTCCTTCAAACAGAACTCATTCCCCTTTAAATGGTATTCATATATTCATTAGAAACGTCTAGTTTTCTCAGCGCCATCTCTTGATCTTGCCATCTTTGAAGCCTTTAGATGAAATGAGCTCTTGCCCACTGTGCTGTCAAACATTACCGTGTTTCATTACAACTAATAGAGACATATTAGGGCTGCAACAGATCAGATCCAGAAATAAATGGTATCCTGGAAAATCATAAATAGGCTGTCTATGACAGGAATGTTGATGATGCTCATAAGTTAAACAAGCAGTTTGCATATTTCATCCCTAATGTATATAGTCTACGTATGGCTAGGAAATGGAAATGTACTTCTTGAGGTCAATACTAATTAGTGGTGCTTGCCAAGTGTGCTGTTACTTTTCAAAGTGATCAGACTCATGATTTTTCATCTAGTGGATGATAAACTGGCCAAAAAATTCTATACACTGACGCTGAAAGCAGGACCATTTCTAGAGACCAGAATATCTCAATAGAGACTTGAGGTGGGCTGTTTTGAGTTGGGCAACCACTCAGAACACCACAGAAACTGCATGGCTACACTCTGACAACAGGCCATAATACCCAAAAGCCGTTTATTGCAATTGTAACAATCTTACATTTTGGTTCAACTGTAATTTTATGAAGCTACGAGAATACTTTTTGTGCGCAAAGAAAACAAAATGCATCGTGGTACTCTCGTGAATGGCGGCGGACGGAAGAGAAAAATTGTTGAATAAAGTCATTACTTTTGTTCTCCTATTCAGAATCAGAATCAGAATGAGCTTTATTGCCAGGTATGTTTACACATACGAGGAATTTGTTTTTGTGACAGAAGCTTCCACAGTGCAACAGAATGACAGTGACAGGACAAAAACACAGATAATAAAAGAAAAAAAAAATAGAACAAGTTCTAATTTTTATTCTTGTAGCTTCGTAAAATTACGGTTAAAACACTGATGTCACATGGACTATTTTAATGAAGTCCTTGCTACCTTTCTGGGCCTTGAATGTGTCAGTTGCATTGCTGTCAGTGCAGGATCTGAAAGCTCTCGGATTTCATCAGAAATATCTTAATTTGTGTTACGAAGCTGAACGAAGGTCATACGGGTTTGGAACGACATGAGGGTAATTTGAATTTTCATTTTTGAGTGAACCATCCCTTTAAGGGGAATAACTTCATGCTTATTTTTTAATGTAAATCATACATTTTCATACAAATCAAATCATACAAGTTCCTACAAATTTGCAACCAATTCTTAATTTGCCAAAACATATCATAAGTCGGTTTCCATCCAAAGTTGCAAATTTAACTTATGTGCAAAATTGGAATATCACATAAAACATTTTCAAATAAGCACCATTTCCATTCAACGAGTCAAAGAGAATAAAATCATCACTTCCTGATAAATTGGCACTAAATATTACTAAGAAACGTAGGAGAAGCCACTGAATATAGCCATTTTCATTTAAGAATGACCATAACAACATTTCCTCTGATTAGTGAGGTTATGGCATCCCATAGCGCAAAGTCACATGACTTTATTTATTCGGCAAATGTGTTTTCACCTTCCATTATTCGCATTAACCCTTTTTCGCACAAGTCAAAAGTAACATCAAGCGAGCGTAAAAAAACTTTTTGTACAATTAAGGGATTTTTTTCCCGAAATTTGGTGTTTCCATCATTTATTTCTGATGTGATACTTCAAAATGTTCATAAAAACAGGGTTTTGGAAACATAGCTATAGTTATGTTTTCTCATGAGATTATTTTGGCAACATTGCTAGTATTGTGGCAGTAAGTTTTCCACAGGCATCGGCTTCTGTTAACAGGATGTTAATTATGCGCAGCTGAGTGACAAGTCATGTGACCCACATTTGGAACCCTGATGACAGTGGATGTGTGGCCTTTAAGTTAAAGGGATAGTTCACCCAAAAATTAAAAGACTATATTTTAAGTGTTTTTGCCCATACACTAGAAGTCAATGGTAACCAAAACTGAACATTATTCAAAATATCACCTTGTGTGTTCTGTAGAAAAACAGCAGTACAGTCATATAGGTTTGGAACAACATGAGGTTGAATAAATTATGACAATTTTCATTTGTGGGTTAACTAGTCATTTAAGTAAATGACTCCAAACAAAGAATCCATTCTCATGTAGGTGAGACAAGTTCAGGTCTGACCCACTTCATGCTCCTGTCCCACTGGCTTTGTATCTCCCCCTAATTTCTTATAATATTTTCATTTTCTTTATAAAGTGCAAAGCACTCAAGATAAAATTAGACAAAAAGAAGAAAAGAGAAAAGAGCTGATGATGCAAACACAAG